ACCTCGTCACGCATGCCGTCTTCGCCTCGTCCCCCTCGGCTATCCTCACTTGATAGTACCCCGAGCGAAGATCAAGCTTCGTGAACCACTTTGCTTCTCCGAGTTGATCAAACAAGTCGCCAATATTGGGGATTGGCCACTTGTTCTTCACCGTGAGCTTGTTAATAGCTCGATAATCGATGCACATCCGCAATGAACCATCTTTCTTCTTCTGGAACAACACGGGTGCTCCATAGGGGGATTTCGACGATTGGATGAAGCCAGCATCCATCAAATCCTTGAGTTGCTTCCTCAATTCCTACAACTCGGGAGGGTCCATGCGATAAGGTGCTCTTGCTGGTGGCGTTGCCCCTTGCTCAAGATCGATCTTGTGATCGACTTCTCTTCTTGGCGGGAGCTTCTTTGGTAGTTCCTTTGACATCACACCCACGAACTCCTCCAACATGCCCTTGATGAGAGGTGTTGGCGCCACCGAGCCTCCTTCTTCCTTTGCTCGCAAAGTGACAAGGAACGTGGGTTCCATCCTCTTCATTCCCTTCACCAATTGCATGGCCGATAAAGCTCTCTTCGGCCCTTTTTCGCGCAACATCTTCAACGGGCAAAACTTATCTCCCTTGTCAAGGCAGAGAGTGTTGGAATTCATTGCCATCACTGCGCCATCCTTCTCCATGAAGTTGACGCCAAGAATGACCGGATGGTCATCCATAGTGATGACGCTAAAGTCGGGAACACCTTCCGAACCTTCAATCTTCAATGGCACGTTCTTGGCAACACCATGGATGGGTATTGCTTCGGAGTTGACGGTCTTGAGCGATCCTTGCCTCTTCTCGAAAGCGATCCCCAAGCGCTCCGCCTCCTCCATTCGAAGAAAGTTGTCGGTCGCACCAGTGTCAACCAATGCTTTCGACTCGCCTCCTTCGAATTGGGTGATCACAAAGAATCTCCCCTTGTTAACTTCGTTGGCACCGGACTTCGCCGCGCCTAGCCTCCGCATGGAGCCTATCTTCCCTTCATCTTCCCTAGCATTCTCCTTGGTCTCCCCTTCTTGTTTCTCCAAGGCTGCTAGCTTGCTCTTCTTTGGGCAATCTCGCACCTTATGTGGACCGTTGCAAAGGAAACAAGACATGGGTTTGTCAAAGTTACCAGATCTTGCTCCCTTGCTCGAGCCTCCATGTTGGTATGAGCCTTTTCCTTCTTTGGAGTGCTGCCAATGATCTCCTCCCCCTTTGCTCTTCGAGTTCTTCGACTCGTTCGGCCTCTCACTCTTCTTGTACTCCGTGAGAGCCTCTACCGTTGCCAAGGCAGTAGCAAGATCTTGCACTCCACGCCTCTCGAGCTCCAACTTTGCCCAAGGCTGCAATCCGAAATGAAGCCAAACAAGTCCTCCTTGTCTGGCAGATCGGGGATCTCGAGTAGCAATTCCGAGAACTCCTTGACATAGTCACAAATTCCGCCGGTGTGGGTGAGTCGTCGAAGCTTTGCACGGGCTTCCATTTCCACATTCTCCGGGTAAAACTGCCTCTTGATTTCCTTACGGAAATCCTCCCATGTGTCCATCACACATGTGCCTCTCTCTATATCACTTTGCCTCCTCCTCCACCACACCAGGGCCGTGTCGACCAAGTAAAGGGAGGCGGTGCGCACCATGACTTCATTGTCATCGATGCTCGAGGCCCCCTCGCATTCCTGGACCCACCAAAGTTCTTCGGCCTTGGAACATCTACTCGTGGTATAGATTGAGTCGCGCCAGGTCTGTTAGCCATGGCTCGTTTGACGAGATTGAGCTCTCCTCTAAGCTTGTCAAATTCTTCCCTCACTTCGTCCACCTGGCCTCGAACGGTCTCCCTCAAGGATTCGATGGCGTTGGTGATGATGGTCACAAACTCGTCTCTGAAAACTTCTAACCCCACCTCCAAGCCTGCCATTCGAGTGCCCATGCCTTGCATGTCATCCTTCGAAGTCTGCACCTCTGTGCTGACTTGGTCGAATTTCGACACCATGTCCTCGAACATGGTTGTATGCTTGGCAATCTTCGTCTCCGCTCTTTTGAGCCTCTCCTCGATTGCCACCAAAGGCTCTCGAGTGGATCTATCACGATGTTTCTTGTTGTTTGGATCCTTCTTCTCCTCACGACCGCGTTGTTGCTCATTGTTGAGAACTTCGCTTTCAGATCCAGCCATCTCTTCGATGTTTTTTCTCACTTGATGAGCTATGACCTTGGCTCTGATACCACTTGTCACGGACCAACTCTTGGTCGTGCGACACTTAGCACTCAAGTCTCGTTAGAGCGCTAAGTCAACCTTGCTCGTATTCACTCAAACTCACAACTATGGAGAAAAGCTCTAGAGATGGAAACTCTCAATTTCTGGATGAATGAAAAATGAGGGAGAAGGATGCTTATATTGGCATCCTCTCCACTAAGTACAATGCATGTAGGCCATCATTAATGAATGAACCTAGATAGTCCCCCCATACAATAACTTGCCCCATACATGAATGTAATTAATAAGGTGCATGAATAAAAGATAGATAAGGGGGATGTATGTACATTGGTGCATGAATCGCAAGATGCATGCATGTACCTACATCCTTCGAGAATGCTCTAGAATCTTCCGCGTAACAGTGCCCCCGAGCTCCTTCCTCCTCAAGCGGCGAGACTGCTCTTGTTTCCACCGTCGTCGATTCCGCTTCCGCAAAGCCCTTCCATTTTCCATTTTTCTCATTAATAAAATCCACCATTCTCCATGATGCCCAACAACCATTATTGACAATTATGAACACATCCCAGTTTGCGAGAAGCTCTGATTTCCAGTGAATCCTTCCACCTAATCAACTTAATTATTCCCACTTGTAATCCTCTACTAGAGTTTACGTCTTTCCCTTCTTTCCCTCTACTAAACACTTGACCACTTACAAAAAGAGAAGAAATCCATACCTTGATTATTTGACCCATCCATTAATCACTACTCCCAAATGATTTTCACTCCACCATAAGCCACATAAGACACAACAAGAGCAAGAATGGCGGTACAAGAGTGGCATGCAGTAGCTAAACCTCTTGGTTTTCTATATATGTTCGATTCCTGCACAAAGAACCACAAAAATGAAAATACCTCCCTCCCCATGTAACTAGCTTGGTCTCCCCACAACAAAAGACCATACACGTGTTATCTCTGGAGACATATGGCACTCAACACACTTATGCTTCACCGAATAAAAATTAAAAGAAACAAGACAAAGGGAGTTGGGCAGGGGCGGAGCTACATTTTAGATAGGGTGGGTCACGGCCCCCGGGATTGGTCTCGACCCCTAGGTTCGTGAGGATATTTAGTACAAATTTTGTAAGTAGAACTTGTTCTATAAACTTTATCATGAATAGTTATGTGTTCTAATGGTAGTCAACCTTAATTTATTTCATAAAGCACATGGGTTTGATCGACATTGGTTACATAATTTTTTTGAATTATTTTCGGCCCCCGGTCTCGAAATCCTGGCTCCGCCCCTGAAGGTGGGTGTTACACGTATGTGTGTACATGGCAAAGTTAGATAACAAGTGACATTTGCTATTGTTTGACTCACTATATTTCATATTACAGTGTACCCAAAGATAGGATTTGGAATTAATTGGTGAAACGAGTAATTGGTGAAACTATTAGTTGTCACCCCTCTCATTGGGAGTTACTTGGTCAAACTAGTATTCTTTCTTATTATTAGTCTTACCCTATCTCTTTTCCAACTCTAGACTGGGTTGAACTAGGAATATGTCTTGAGGAGTATTAGGTTACTAGATGGTTAGGTGTTATCGAGGGTTAGTACGAGACTTCTAGTCCGGTTCTCTCAAAACACATATTAATGATTTTTACCTATTTATCCGAGTTCACGGCGTGAATGGATTTCCCCATGTCTAGCAACTTTCTATATTAACTATGTGGTTAACGGATCACGTGAATGGGTTGTGACAGCGCATGCCTTTATAAATCCTTACTCACGTTTACCTTTTAATCAACCCCCACTAAACTAAAGCAAGTATATAGGGACAGGTTAGCGTGACAACCCCTAAGGGGGTTGTCAATCTCGTTCCCCCCCTCGTTGCCGTCCGTTCCCCTATTCCTCCATCTAACGATTGAAGTTGGGCAGGGGCAAAAAGGAGAGCTACCGCACTGGATTGTGCTCCCCTAGTTCGCTGACGTCAGCGGGTTTTTTGAAAAGACAAAGAAATCGGTGGGGGGAGAGTAATCAGCCATCTTCCCACCGAACCTTTCGTCTCCCCCCGAACCTTTCGTTTCGCCCACTGGTACCCTTTTTTCTCCGTCTCCTCCCACAGAAACTCTTTCTACCGTTTCTCCCAAATACTTCTGTATCCACTTTCTCCGATCGATACTTCTGTCTCCACTTTCTCCGATCGTTTTTGCCGGCGAGCATTGGTATTGGTTCATTGCGAAGACTTTGTTGATTCAGGTACGACTACAACTTTTGCATGGATCGGTCTCCGTTGACGCTTGCTTCGTCGGACTGATTCGTTGGCGCTGCCGCTCCTCCCCACTTCATCTTTTGCTATAGATATCTGGTTTGCTAACTTAGGTTTTTATCTCCTTCTTGTTATGTGCGTAGGCGAACCACCTACTTCCGCCGTCGTTCCTTTCTGCGTCCGTGAAGACAATCGGAGGTTAGGTTTATTTACATTACTGTTATTTGTTTTTGGGTTGCAACGTTGGAATTAGTCACATGCAGACCTGTCTTTATTGTTTGTCATGCTTGTTTGGTGTTGTTATGATCCACTGGTATTCGTAAGAGTCGTACCATTGCTAGTGGTAGCTGTGGTACTGGTACCCATCGCTTTGATATGCTAACAGTGCTAGTTTAATGTAAACGTATAACTTGTTGTAACAGTAGAATTCTACTTGTTCTAACAATGCTAGTTTAATATGGATTGTACCATTAACATTCTACATTGCTAATAGTAATTGTAGTGATATCATTCTACTTGTTCTGTTGCAGGGATGACCAGAACAAAGATCCCAGCTATACCATCTACGAAAACACAACAACCTGCTGGTTATGTTTCTCGGCAGGTAGAAGTCCTCTTGAGGGACTCTAGTGATTCTGGTGCTGGGCCTAGTAACAAACGACCACGCGATGAGGTAACAAAGAGTCACAGCAAGAAGAAGAAGCAACGGACTGTACAGTCAAATCAAATCATCTTGGATAAGAAGTGCAGTCCGACTTCAATCATCAAGATTGTGGAGGCGGGTATTTCAGCTAAGAGACAGACGCTTATCAAGAAGCTTGGACTAAGTTGTGTGCTTAATTTGAAGATGAAACGGTTTGACAGTTCGTTGTTGTGTTGGATTACTAGGCTATTCAATGAGGAGACAATGTCGATAGCTATGCACGATGGGGGGCAGCTTACCTTTACCGTGGTGTAGCAACACTAATGGATTGGGGCACTACCATGAACACGCAAAGTGAGTGAATCAGTGAGGTGTGTAATATGATCGAACAGAGCAAGTGGCTCAATGGGAAGACACTACACAACTGCAACTTTGTAAGTAGCGTCCAACACTTCAATTTATTTATTTTTGGGTTAACACATCCCTCATGAATTGTTGATTATTACCAGTACCACTTTAATTCATTTGAGATTAACTTATTTGTTTGGATTCTGGATTATCACACTCTCACTTATTTTGCTTTTTTTAAACAGTGGTTCTTGCCTTACGTTGCTGCCTCAAAAATGGTGTTGTACTGTGTTAACTTGAAGGATAGGAAGTTCGAGTTCTTTGACGCTAGCGGTGGCAAATTTACACCCTTACTACAAAAACTTTGTGAACATGTGGTAAATTTTGTGACTCAGTACATCGATGTGGTTTTGCAGCTGAACTACAACTGGGGAGATTTCCGTTGGCGTCAAGTGACAAGTATTAACAGCCATGAAGACACACACGGGGGCATTGTTTGCTTGAAATTCTGTGAGTTGTGGGAAGGCAAACTTCTGACTGTTTGGAAGAGAACATGGCGTGGACAAACTTATCTGAGGAGCAGGTCTGCTCAAATGGTTCAGAAGACCATTGAAGACCCGAGTAATTTGCAGCTGCAGGAAATGACTGGTAAAGCTATGGATATGCAAGAGGGACTACTACGTGGATACACCCAGGTGTCACATCAGTAGTAAACTCATTGGTTCATGTATGTTTGCAAGTATGAACAAGTTGTCATGGACAAAGTATTGTTTCATACATTGGCACAAATATTTTGTTTTTTGATTTTGCTACTGCAATACCTCCTCCATAGTTATCTGGTACCAGTTATTGGTACCAATTGAATTTTATTGGTACCATTTGAATTTTATTCTTATGTTACTGGTACCAATTGAATGTTACTGGTATCAATTGAATGGTATTGGTACCAATTGAATTTTATTGGTACCATTTGAATGTTACTGGTACCAAAAACATTGCCAATGGTATCATTATTAAGACTGGTGCAAATATTTTGTTACAAATATGTAGTTAAAAATTTTACTGGTATCAAAAACATTGCCAATGGTATCATTATTAAGACTGGGGCAAATATTTTGTTACAAATATGTAGTTAAAAATGTTACTGGTACCAATTGAATGTTACTGGTACCAGAAACATTACCAATGGTATCATTATTAAGACTGGTACAAAATCGGTGCTACTGGTACCATAAATAAGACTGGTACAAAATCAATGGTACACTGTCGGATGTTATTGGTACCAATTGAATGTTATTGGTACCAGAAAATAGCCAATGGTATCATTATTAAGAATGGTACAAAATCGGTGCTACTGGTAGCATAAATAAGACTGGTACAAATATTTTGTTACAAATATTTTGTTAAAAATGTTATTGGTAACAATTGAATGTTTCTGGTACTAGAAACATTGCCAATGGTATCGTTATTAAGACTGGTACAAAATTGGTGCTACTGGTAGCATAAATAAGACTGGCACAAAATCAATTGTACACTGTCGGATGTACTAGTACCACTGTTGGATGTTTCTCAACTACCAAGCCATGTTTCTCTAATGGTGCAGAACACACGTAAAGATAATAATAAAAAATCATTCTTAGACATCAAATGTTTTGGTCAGAAGCAAATTGTACGTCTCTTCTGATAGGTTGCCACTTCTGTAAAACAAGTGAAATGAAACATGCAAGTAACAACTAAAAAAAAAAACTAGGTCTTCTTCTTCTTCCTCTTGCTGTTGAGCTCGTGATTCAATTGTTTTCGTACCCGCTCGTTTACTATTTCCCGAACCGACACTAGCCACTTCTTATACATTCACTTGTCCTGCCGCTGCTTCACTTTGGACCCTATAAAATATGCTTCATCATTGGGTTCTGGATTTGACAAAGGGTCACCGTTCATGTTTTCAGCCCATTTAGGTGCTCCTACACGGAAAGTTTAATCATGGGTTAGTAATCTTACCCAGCAGATACCTAATACTAGTATCAGTATACAACTAAAAACTCCTAATTTGGTACCGGTAAATTCACTGGTACTTTCTACCAGTGTGACATGTACTAGTGACTGCAAACATGAGAAAAGGTAGTGCAACTTACTTCTAACGATGTCATCAGCTTCTATTGTGAGCTTTTCCAAAGTAGAAGTCATCAGCTCATATACCTCATCATTTGCAGCAAGCCGAGTTGCCAAAACATTTATAGCTCCTGTCAACTTCTTAACCCTTGCACCCAAAGAATTTCGCACTTGTGGGTCAGGCTCATGTATTTTGAACTGCATTCCTTCCCTTGCATGCCTGGTCCATCTTGGCAAGATGTAATCGTCACGAATTTGCCTTAGTTCCCGATTATGCCGACTAGAGCCAAGATGGTCCATTGTTTTCAGAATATGTTTGCATAACCAACCCCAAGTTTCAAAGTGATGGCAACTACATCTGAACTTCCGCTCTTCCATTTGTACGTGGACAATCCTCTCATCTGTTATATCGAAGTTTGGTCCTTCATAACGGTATACGTTGTATGCAAGCCAAGAATATTCATTCAACTCTTCGTTCGGATCCATATAATATCCAAAGCTCTTGCCTACCTCATTATGGAACAGTCTGAAAACATTGTAAGTGTAGAGCTTCTCCACCTGTCTGACGAAAACATTGTGAGAGTAACGAACAGGTGGTGCCTCATTAACAAGTTGCTGTTCCCGTTCCAGTTCAGTTTCCCTCTTCTTGTCCAGCAGCTTGTCGAAATGATAAAAAAACTGGGAGAAGTTGTGTTCTGATTTAAGGTGCTTCCGTAGGCTGCTGTTGCACGATTCACTCAGTTGCGAGCTCCGCATTCCATTTGTCTTATAGTCTTTGAGCCAAAGTCTAGACCATTTAAACCTGCATTCAAAATTAATCTATGATATGAGACTGGTACCTATTAGTGTTACTAGTACCAAATAAATATTACCGGTACCCAAAAGTCATAGTACTATTAACCAAATCACTGTTACTTAGATTTAATCTTAGCACCATTAAATATTCACTTACCGGTGTTTGCGGAGCTTTGCTAACCACCTGTGTCCATCCGGACCTTCCCCAGGGAAAAATTTGTCAATCATTCGGTTCCACACATGGTCAAATTCCTCCTCTGTATCAACGCTATACATCAGGCAATGAATCTCGCTTTTCAGACCAGATTCATATAGTTTTGGACCCAAGTTCTTCATCCCATTCTGGTGTAAATGCCATGTGCAAAGACCATGGAAAACTTCAGGAAATCGCTCTTTTATGCCTAGAGCAATTGCTTTTGCTTGGTCTGTAAAGATTGATATGGGTTGCTTGCCCGACATGCAGCTGAGGAAACTCCTAAAAAGCAAAGAAAAAAGAAGAAGAAGTCTCGTCGTACATAAGCCCCGCCCCAAAAATACACAACTCTCTATGATTTTTGAACTCCACAAATAAACCTGCAGCAAATGGTAAGCAATTATAAGAAGCACTAGATAAGTACCAATGACAAGTACCAGAGCATCACTGAGTACCAAAAAAGTACTTAAATGGTACCAGTGACATACCTAATGGTCTGCAGCTTTGGTTAGTCCTTTAGGTCGTGTCAAAACTAATAGCGTTGCCAAAACATTCATAGTCAAACCGCATTCTACCATCCGCAAAAAATACAGACAAAATCTCATCATCATCGTCCACTTGGATCTCGTAGAAAAAAGATGGGTCACATTTTATCCGATTCTTGAAATATTCGTGGAGAACTCTTGCATCACCCTTCTCCATACGCCTGCTCCTTGCCTTTTGCGTACAATTCTTTAGATTCCTCTTTGTGAAGGGTAGATTCTCCTTTCCGCTGGCCATAGCAGCAAAAGAAACATATGAGTTTTGAACAGGAATCCCCGCGCAATCGTTTATTTCAGCAAAGTATGCATATTCTGATGGCACCTCCCGATTTGAGCACATAAATGTCTTGAAAATGCATTGTGCATTTCATGCACATGATTGTCTGTCCACCGGTAAATCTTATACTTACCGGAAGCCCGCTCGTAGCTGCACATTGCAATAGCGTTGCAACCAAAACGAGTCTCTCCCCTTTCTCTCTCATTTGGAGGCTCTGAGTCCACGACCTCTTCTGCATTCTTCGGGTCAAGCCTGCTGCCTTTTCTGTACCCTTGTTTGCTGCACGAACCTCCAAAGTAAAAAACGAATGGTTCGGGGAAGTATGACCTTTTCTTCTTAACTGCTCCAACAACTCTTGACGAAAAGCCTCTTCCATGAGCAAAACTCTTGTAGAAACGATTAAATTAATCCTGGTTCTGGAAACGTAAGTGATTCCACGTTGATTTTTCTGATGGAACGATGGATGTCAACACACCTACATGGAAAGAACAAATACATTAGTAAGTGATTATGACTACAAATGAACCTGCTACATGACTACCACTAGCTAACTGGAACTATAACTACTGGTACATGTACCACTACAAATGTACCCATACATGTACCAGTACATGACTACCACTAGCTACCTTGAAATCCCAGTAATACTGGTACCAAATCAGTGGTACTTGTGTCATTTTCTGGTACTGCTGTACTGGTACTAAAGCAGTGGTATTGGTACCCATCTAGCAGTCCCGGTACCAATACAGTGGTACTGGTGCCATCCTATCGGTACTGGTGCCATTTTTAACACAATAATATTTGTACCAATAGTAAAACGGTACAAATGCAAAAGAAGTCATAACAGCACAGGTAAACCCTACCGCCATAGCTGCAGTCCACGCCGTCGTCGACATCAACGCGATCGCCAGAATGTCGCACGAACTTGTCATTGTTCTCCACGTCGAGTCCACATTGGACGTTCTCTGTGTTATCATGTCATTCAAGATGATCTTCGTTCAACGCCTCCTCCACGTCCAGAACGGGGTCAACGTCCACCATGCACAGATCAGCGCCATTCACTGCCGGATCCGTCTGCTCAGCATCGCAGTCGTATATATCATCGTCGTTGATTGTCAGTGGGACGTTCAGGTCCAACCCAAATATACACATAGATTCGACTCCCCCCATTCATTGCCGTAGTCGTTGCTAATGTAGTCGTTCATGGCGGTGACGGCCGTCGCGTTGCTGGTATCTTCCATAGCTAGATGACGGGCTTGGTTTGCCGAGGGAGAAGCCAGAAATGGAAGGGATAGAGTCTACTCTATTCCGCTCCCCAAATCACGTCCCCCAAATCACGTTCCCGGATTCTCTCCATGCAATTAATTTCTAATTTAAATTATTTGAATTAACCTTGTGCTTACTAAAAAATTCTTCTTGTGATCCTGGCCGCTAGATGATTAAGGGGAACGGACGGCAACGAGGGGGGAAGCGAGATTGACAACCCCCTTAGGGGTTGTCACGCTATCTACTCCCAAGTATATATCCTCCTAGTTATGAATTATAATATATAACACACCTTGTATACAACTAGTAGTATATTGTTATATATTTTCATTCATGAAGGTGGTGGTAGAGGGAGCAGTGACTACTTTTTCTTGTGGAGGGAGCTCCATTGGTGGAAGCAGCGGCGACAACAGGCAAAGAGAAGTGTAGCGGCGACGATAACTGACGGGAAGACGATCGCCGGTTTTGATGGATTGAGAAGGGAGATGATAATATAATTAAGGGTTAATATATTTGTATGGCCTGAACTTTGATCAAAATAAACATCCTGGCCAATTTTTTCGATCTATAACATCCTGGCCCGAACTATACATCAAAATAACTAATTTGGCCAGACCCAATGTTTGACCGTTATCTTGGACGGTCAAACGCGTTGACTAACGGTCAACGCGCCACGTCACCGCCAAATCAACACTTTTCACTTAAAATCTTTTATATTTTCCACCTATTACTATTTATTTTTCCATTTTGATTTTTTTTTTTTGAAAAATGAAAAATGAATTTAGGGAAAAACCCGCATCCCTCACTCTCACCTTCCTTCTCACCGCCGACTTTCCTCCCTCGTCCGATGAAAATACAGCGGCGGGCATTCTTCTAAGCTCGCCGCCGCCGTAATCCTCCCAACAAAACAAAAAAATCCCCAATCGTCGCTTTCGGTTACCATCGCAGATCCACAATCTTCCCCCACCGTCGCGCGTTCCTATTCGGGTAGTTCTTCACCCCCTGATTCGTTGTACTGTGTAAGGAAGGATAAGTTCTAGCAGCACGAGGTAGCAATCGACAAAATTAACATAATCTGCCGCCGGAGAGAGAGTGCACGTTTTGTGTTCTTTAAGGGGAAAAGCTACTACTTGGGCAAAGAGCAATAAAAGCAAATCCAAGAGAATACAATCACAAATCTGCAAAGTTGTAAAGTAGCAGAATCAAAGAAAATTTGACCTTGCTCATCGGGAATCGACAGAAAATCCTGGTAGCGCTCGAGATCTAGCTCCGATTCAAGAGCATCTTTCTGATGGTGTCGCCGACGGGCACGCGGTGGAAGAGGGTCGGTAAGGAGATGACGAACATCGTAGTGGTCGATTGAGAGAGAGTTCCATTCGACGAGGGCATTTGAGGAGTTGGTGAACTCCGCCATGGCATCGTCGTCGAAGAGCAGGGCGTGGCGGCCAACAGCTTCTAGATCCATTTTTCAGGGCCGCCGATCGATGCAGAGGGAAAACCCTAACGTTTTTTTAGGTTTTGAAGGAGGAGGATCTCCGTGCAGACGATAAACGACGACGTGGGAGGAAAGTCGGCGGCGAGAAGGAAGGTGAGAGAGAGGGGCTGCGGGTTTTTCCCCAAAATCCATTTTTCATTTGTCAAAAAAAAAAAAAATTCAAAATGGAAAAAATAAATAGTAATAGGTGGAAAATATAAAAACTTTTAAGTGAAAAGTGCTGATTTGGCGATGACGTGGCGCGTTGACCGTTAGTCAACATGTTTGACCATCCAAGATAACGGTCAAACGTCGGGTCTAGCCAAATTAGTTATTTTGATGTTTAGTTCGGGCCAGGATGTTATAGATCGAAAAGATTGGCCAAGATATTGATTTTGATCAAAGTTCAGGCCATATAAATATATTAACCCTATAATTAATTAAGATCTGGTTTGTTATTTCCCTTTAATTTTCTAAACATCGCCCTAACTTTACTAATATTTCCCTAACTTATTTTTTGAAATTACATAACAGTCCAATAAAAAAAACCAAAACGCTTTTTAATTCACAGAACTCTCCCCCCGGAAGACAGCAAATCAGCCGCCGACGACTTCCTCCCCTGCAACCACCCCAATCCCGCCGCCTCCGTCCTCTTGTCGTCGTTAGAACTCTCCCCTGCCGGAAGATAGCAAATCTGACGCTGCGGACGTCCTCCGCTGCAACCAAACCAATCCGGCCGCCTCCGTCCTCTTATCGTCGTTTTCCTCCAGCAGCGCACCCTACTATCGTTATCATTCTCACCATTGTGACAGAGCCTCTCCTCCATCCTGCCGTCGACCCTTCTACCAGGTCTTCTCAATTATTTTGTTCGTTATTCCTTATGTAAAAATTGAGAAGCAAAATTGGATTGAATGGTGGGTTAATGATGTTAATACCAAATATGGTATGATGGAGAGGAAGGGGGCGGCCGGGCTACTGTCGGTGACCAAAGTGGGTTGCTGGTTGAGGAAGGGGGCAATCGAGCGGGTAGTGGTGGCGACGAGTACTGCGGCTGCACAACTGGTCAATTTTTTCGGAGTGTGTTTATTATAATAATTGTTTTTAAAAAAATAAAAAGGATATGAGGACAAAAGTGTAATTTGAACTTGTTAAGTAGGGCGATTGTAGAAAAGTTAGGACGACGATTAGTAAGCCCTCTCTCTTTACCCAGAACGATTAAGTAAATTCGACTTTTAAGTTAGGGTGATTATCGTAAAGTTAGTGCGAGCCGAGAATTAGCCATCCAGAAACAAATAGGGGTGTTCAAACGGATTGGTTACCGTGGTAACCATATTAACCGGTAGTATTCGGTTACTTTGGTTTGGTTAATTTGGATAATTGGTTTAGTTTGATTAAACAATTTAGCGTATTTGGTTTGGTTTGGTTTCAACATTACTAACCAATGAAACCAATTAACCAATTAATGATACACCTAATATACAAAATTATTTATACTTCCATGTAATCAACCAAACCAAATTTTTGTGATTCCCTATTTTATTTCCATGTGCACGACATACCAAAATATTATGGGTGCAAAATTAAATGGGTCTGTCTATTTACTAAACCAAAACATTTTGGACATCTACTAGACTTTAGGATTACGTACAATGCCATGACAACCACTTCAAACTATGAATAGTTTATGTGTTTTGTAGGGGAGCTTTAACTTCCTGATGAGGGGTATTTGTATGTTTTTGTGTTAAGGGATTTGTTGTAATCTAACTATATTAGGTGTAGAGATGATGAATGATGTATTAACTGGAATGATGATGATAAATTGATAATCATGGATGGTTAGTCTTATTATTATTGCTTATATATAATGATAGTTTATGATAGTAACAACATATTGTTATGTTTATTCATTAACAAGATAATTGTTTTCATGTAATGTTATGTTATTTGGTTAATCCGATTATCCGATTAACCAAACCAATTAAACGTTTGGTTTGGTTAATTTGGTTTTCGTGTTAATTTGAACGATTTGGTTAAATTATTTTATTCCATGGTTAATGAAATTTTAGTCTTAATTGGTTTGATTATTACCACGGTAACCATTTCATTCTAACACCCCTAGAAACAAATAGGTGAGGACCGAGGAAAGGGAACTGAGAGAGTGAAATGGGGAATCCTTCCTCATTCTCCTTCAGTTTCGTAGTCCTCCTCTCCGTCTCCCTCACAGCTTCATCACCGTCCGCCAAATTCTTCCTCAAGTCTACGTCTCCGTCTCCGTCTCCGTCTCCGTCTCCGTCGCGGCCGTCGATTCCCAAGGCGACGCCGTGCGATTTGCTCTCCGTCCTAGGCTCCGCTAATCAATCCTCCACAGTCAACCCCCTGGTCTCCAGGGAGCTCACGTCTTGCCTAAAGTTCCTCGTCCCCTTCGCTCCCGCTGCTCTTGAATGTCCGGAATCTTCTCCGGCAAGGCGGAGATTGCGTTCGGAACGGCTCAACCTCCGCCGCCGAAACCGTGGAGAAGAGAACCAGCTCCTCTGGTGGCCCCCTGAGCCGGTTCTCGAGCTCGCTCGCCTTGCCGTTGACTCCGGCGGCGATCCTGATGCTATCTATCGCGCTCTGGATCCAACCGTCTTGCGAGTGAGTGTATTTGAGTTTTTAATTTTACCCAGTTCTTAGAAAATGGCGGTATGATTAGATAGCTCTATTGAAGTGAGCTCGTTTAATTCATGTTTGGCAATGGAAGGAACGAAAGATAACCCTTGCAAGCATTACTAGAACGCCGAGTGCTTTTTTAGTTCTTTCTTGTTTGAATGCTTGAAATGGCGTTTCGGCTATCTAGCCTTTCTGAAATGAGCTCGTTTGATTCCTGTTTGACTGCGGAGTTATAGGTAGGTTCCTGGTATTAAATGATCGAAAAAGAGAATCTGTGTCAGCTTACTATAGTTTTTTCACTTTGTCTTTCTCTTTTGCTGGGAAAATGGCATTTCCATTACCTAGTTCTTCTGAAGTGAGCTTGTTTCTTTCATATTTGGCTATGTATATGTAGGTTCCTGACGTTGAAGGATGCAAAGAGGAACGGTGCGAACTTACTAGAACGCCGTATGGGAGGCGCTTCATAAGTCAGGTTTGCCTACATTTTCCAGTTTCTTTGCTATTGGAGCAGTTTGCTTGCAGCCTGTGAGATATGAAGCAGAGTTTCTGCTTTTTCCAGTCGTTGGAAATTTTATTGGCATCCTGTTGATTTACAGGAGTTGAATATCTACTTGGAATTCTTGTTTGAACTCATTGTTTCTCGAGCACCTGAAATTGGGATGAATGTGTTGTTGAATCGCTATGACTTCTTCCATGGCCACCTTTTCCTCGCAACTGGCACGGGAAGGCTTGGGATTCTGTAAGCTCGAAAACTCCCTTACTCTCACAGGAGTTACCATAGAACTAGATTACCAGACTGGAACCTCATCTGATGCTGTGTGTTGTTTTGCAGGTTCCATGCCAAAGAATACCCTGCATATGACAAAACAGCATTTCCATACAACATGGGATATTGCCAAAAGGGTGGGAGTTTCATAATTATTGTAATACATTAACTTCCATTGAATTGCTTGCGTATAGCGATCATTTTTCGCATGATTCTGTTATGAGAAGTTGTTCTGTAACGGGTAGAGCATATATTTTCGATTACTGCGTAATGTTTATTGACTTTTTGCTTGAGTACACCGAATTTTGTCAGAAAAGTGAAGACAGTTATGCGAGACCCACTTCTGCATTTGTTCACATATCTTCTATCCCGATGTAGTTAAAATTGCATCACTTTTGCGCATTCGAGTTTAGTTATACTGTTTCAGATAGACTCAAATGCATCAAACGCAGACAATCATGGATATTTTTTTTAAAGGGAAGAATGAATGTGTTCAATTGCATGCTAATGACAGATAACACTCAACCAAATGACGCATCAAAGTAAAAGTAGATGCTTTTGATTTTTTCAGGATCCAATGTGACTTACGATGAGTCCATGAATACGCGGAACATTCTCTGGCTGGCTCCATTGCCAGGCGATTCCGGAAAAGCTTGGGTGGCACCAGGTACCGTACTCACTTTCCTTGTATCACCCCAATATCAATTGTAACCCTAATGCTAATTCAATAATTTCCCATAAGATTATATTTATTATGCTCATAATATAACTAGCATTACTACATTGTGGGTTTACATTATGAAGGCGTCCTGGTAGTGCTGGATGCTCATCCTGGGGGAATCATATACAGAGATTTCATACCCAGTTACGTAAAATTTGTGAGGACCATATATGAAGGTTTGAAAGCCTTCGACATTGTACTTCCCATTCCAAGCATGTACTGCCAATTATAATCTCTTCTCTAGACCTAACTTGCTCTGATCTTTACCGGCCCGGTTCAACAGATGATTTTGGGGACGTTGCAGTAGATGTGAACTACTTGAACGTTGGAGGCGCAGTTGCGGATTATCAGATCTATGTATGCTGAAGTTTCGACTTTTGAGGTAGTCTTTCCCACGATTACTCTCCTACATTACCCGAATGATGCTGCTGCGCTTCGTTTTCATTTTGTAACAAGAACGTATGAACCATTTCACAGAAGTTGATTGTTCCTAACCTCCCAGCATCGAAAAGATGTAAACAAGAATGAGTTTCGGTCTCACAGTTGCCCTGAGAAATGATCAGTTCAGTGAAAAGTTTGCCCCATCTGTAAGTCCTCCCCCCATAACTTTTCAGATCCTTCTCATCTTTTAACCTGAGGAGCAGGAAGAAAGGAGAATCAAAGAATAACAATTTACTTTCATTTCTTCTGATTTCACTATTCTTATACACTAATTGGACTGTACTGAAACAGGCCTGACGCTGGTCAACTGATGATATTGAATACTTTGATGTCTAATGTTATTAGTAAAAGTCAAATACTTTGATATACTCTTATCTCAATTATACCGGCTTGATTCAATCCAATTCGATCACGAGCACTTCTACTATGCTATATAGTATTGGTGCTTTAATATACAACTTAAAGTTGTACTATAACATCAAATGTATAAGTTACTTTAATGTACAACTTAAAGTTGTACCATAACATTAAATGTATAAGTTTAGGTTGTACCATAAAGTAATTTGTATCATTATGTTATGGTACAACTTTAAAACTTGAAGTTGTACCATCATATAAAGGTACAATCTGAAGTTGTACCATAACGTAAATGTACAATTTTAACTTGTACCATAAAGGCAAAACTCTATAGCACCAATACTATATAACATTGTAAAATTTCTCATACGATCACGTTTGTAAACTGTAAAATGGAATAAGCGTTTGGTGTAATTGATGACAATTAACAACCGTTCATGGATTGAATCACTTGAGGTTCATGGATTGAATCACTTGAGGCGGTTCAGATGCGTGCTAGCCTGCTAGGTTTGCTAGTTCGAGCCTCGAAGGTTGTCACTCTGTGAGTATTATGCTATGTTTCCAGAACTGAACTGAACGTTGAACTAGAAAAGTTAGTGGTTTAGGGTTCAGTGGTTAACTGTTATAAAATCATTGGTTAATCGTTGAGAGAACCAATCGTGATCTATATCACAGATGACATGTATAATACACTAATTTAAGAAAAATTTCATCATTGATCATAAAAGTTTCAATTAATATCATCAATAGCCAAAATATCTAATAAATCATTCAAACTAATAAAAGAAATCTTTTTTTTTAAATTCAAGTTAGAAATTAAGGTGTTAGTTGGTAATAAAGAGGTTGGAACATGAGAAGAGGAAGCAAAAATGATTTTCTTAATTTATGTGGATTATGTTAGTTACGTTAAAGTATTTTTTTAATTGCTGTACTTAAAAATAATAAACCAGTGGACCAGTCAAACCGGGGTGGTTCATATGGTTTCATGTTGAACCGTGAAAAATCGTTTGGTCCATAATTAACCGTTCAAGCAAATGAATCAGACCCATTATTATAAGAATCGAACCAGATCAACAGGTGGGCTAGTAGAACCGTCAAACAAGTTACGATAGCGGTCTGGTTCATTGTTTGGACATTTATTGATGGACCAAACAGTTTTCCACGGCTCTACATAAAACCAGATGAACCATCACGGTTTAACTGGTCTAGTGGTTCACTATTTTAACCATAATTTTTTTTGAAAAACATTTTAACATAAACTAAGACTATCAAACCTTAATTATTAATTTTACATTTGCTTCCGCTTCTCATTTTCCAACCTTGTTGTCGACTTTACGTTGTCCACTATCGATTGGCATCGTAATTTTTAATTTGAATTAAAAAAAATTATAATTTCTTTTATGAGATAGTTTGAAAGATTTAGTCGATATTTTGATGATGATATGAATTTGAAATTGTTTATGGTTAATAATTTGTGTAATATACAAGTCTACATCATTAACTTTTCCGGTTGAATCTTCGGTCCAGTTCTGAAAATAGAGACCAGACCGTTATCATAACTGGTTTGACGGTTCTACTGGCCCAGCTGTTTATCGGTTCGGTTCTTGTACAAATGTGACATTCAAGCAGGACCGGGGCTCGTTTATGGATGGGCTTTGGCTGAGAAACCCCAGTTACATATACCAATAGCCTGTTATATTGAAGCCCAATTAATAGTACAGCCCATCCATAAACAGACCAACCCACCACTAATACCTTGGCACTTTCTCGGAAGATCTCTGCAGCTAGGATATTTTCATAAACGCATCATTTCCGTTGTTCAGCTATGTCCAAAATCGTAAATTGGACAAGGCGCACGTTAGCACTTTCAACCGTTTTTGGTTTTTATACCCCGCGACTTTCTCCACAAGGTGCAGAAAGTTCTTTCATGTTACTGTGTTATATTAGAGAAAAATAATGTTTTGATCTTATTTATTCTTTTATCACTTTCTCCACTACTGTTACGGTTCCTAATCTTGTGGGAAGTGCACATCATTCTGTTACTACGTGCCTATTTTGTCTCCCCAAGATCTGTATATAAACACTCATAATCATCAATAACAAATCATCTTGGATTCTCCTCATTATCTAGTTCTGTTAATCTCTTCATGATATCCGAGCTAGCAACGATCAGCTAGATTCGATCCATCTCAACTTGCTGCGTTTCTCTTCCCTTCCCTTTGATTCTTCTTTGTTCTTCGTCACTATGACAGGCAGCTCCGGTACTACCGATTCAACTAGTGAATCCAAAATTGTAGAAGCTCAAATCATTACCTTCAATCCTGCCGCACAGCTTCCTTTGAAGCTCACTCCAACGAATTTTGCATCTTGGCGTTCCCAGCTGGAAACTCTGCTAATGGGCTTTGATCTTATTGGATTCATAGACGGCTCCAATGTTGCTCCTCCTCAGTCAATTTCAGCCGATGGTGCTGCTACTGCCAATCCTGCCTATCGAAATTGGTTCAGGCAAGACAAACTCATACTTCATGCTTTGAGATGTTCCATTGATGAATCAATTTATTCCTTTGTTTCTGCCGCATCTACGGCTCGTGATGCGTGGCTAATCTTGGAGAAGCTATACGCTAGCAACGCACAATCGCGTATTAATCATCTGAAAGGAAAGATCGGAAAAATTACTAGAGGCGATCGTGACGTTCTTGCTTTCGTCAATGATCTCAAATCCACTGCTGCTGAGCTCGCCCTTATTGGCGAACCTGTGAAGGACCTTGATTTAGTTGTTCACTGTCTCAGAGGGCTGGGTGATGATTACAAAGCCTTTTTTGCCGCCGTTCGTGCGAGAGGACCTGGACTCACTGTTGAGGATCTGGTTGATTCTTTGGTTGAATATGAATCTGATCTTAAATCCCAGCAGCACACTATTATTCCCACTGCTTTCTATACACAGGGGCAGAGATCGGATGGTCATCCTCGTTCACCCCGCGGCGCTCCTCCATCGCAACCGTACCGCGGCGCTTCACCATCCCGAGGCCAACAGGGCCTGCTTCAACGGGCCTCAGGCCCGGGCCCATCTCCAAAACAGGCAGGCCCAGGCACATTACACAAATGCTGCTTCTCCTTTGGGCCAGGCCTCATTTCCATCTGGCACTGTCCATTCGTTGCCCGCCCACTATGCAATTGCTCCATCTTCCCCGGCCCCAATTAATGGTCCATCTCCACCACAAGGTCCATGGTTAATGGACTCCGCCACATCCCATCATGTTACCGCGGATCTTGGTAACTTATCTCTGTATTCGGACTACACTGGCCCTAATGAATTAATTGTTGGAGATGGCTCAGGTTTGCGGATTAGCCATATTGGCACTTCTCATCTTTCAACTGGCTCCTGTTCACTTTCTTTACATGATGTCTTGCATGTTCCGGCCATTAAAAAGCATCTTATCTCTGTGGCTCAATTATGTCGTACTAATCTAGTGTCCGTTGAATTTTTTGCCTCTCATTTTGTTGTGAAGGATCTTCGCACGGGGGCGCAGTTGTTGAAAGGGGAAAACAGAGGTGATGTGTATGAGCTGCCACCGGAGACCGAGCCAGTTCGTATGGCGCTAGTTACTACTCGCACCTCCACAAGTTCATGGCATTCCAGGCTGGGTCATCCTTCTGATCAGTCTCTTCGCACTCTGCTTCGTTCCCATTCCCTTCCAGTGTCTTCTGCTTCCTCCTTTAGTCATTGTGATGCTTGTATTTCTAATAAGTCTAATAAACTTCCTTTTGGTGTCTCATCCCTTTCGAGTACTCGACCTTTTGATCTTCTATATGCTGATGTTTGGGACCCTGCTCCTATTACGTCTATTGATGGTTTTCAATATTATTTGGTTATAGTAGATCATTTCACACGCTATACATGGTACTATCCCCTTCGGCGAAAATCTGATGTTCTTTCCGTTTTCCTTGCTTTTCGTACTATGGTTGAAAATGATTTCTCCACTTCCATACGTCGCATTTACACAGATGGTGGCGAGGAATTTCAAAAGCTCAATTCCACTCTCACCACTCATGGGATCAGTCATTTACTGACTCCACCTCACACTCCAGAACATAATGGTTTAGCCGAACGCAAACATCAGCATCTCGTCGAGACTGGTATCACCCTTCTTCATCATGCCAACCTTCCCTCCGTTTTTTGGTCTTACGCATTTTCCACGACCATTTACCTCATTAATCGCCTGCCCTCATCTGCTCTTCGTGGTCACATACCCTACACTGTCCTTTTTAATCAATCCCCCAATTATCATAAGCTCCGGATCTTTGGCTGTTTATGCTACCCTTGGCTTCGTCCCTACTCCACAAATAAACTCGACCCTCGCTCTCGCTCCTGTATTTTCCTTGGTTATTGCCCCCAACGCAGTGCCTATCGTTGTTTTGACCCCCTCACTAATCGTCTCTTTCTTTCCCGTCATGTTCGATTTGTGGAGACTGTTTTTCCAGGTTATTCCTCTCCTGTGGCTCCTGTAACGCCATCGCTAGTCACATGGCTTTTGGACTCCAGTCCCACCATCACTCAGTTGCAGGCTGCTCGGCCCATCACTCCCTCTGTCAGCCCAACACCACCTTGGCCACACTCCCCATCATCAACTGCTCCCTCCTCCGCGGCCTCCTCCACCTCACATGGCAATTCGACGGACACTGGGCCTGCTACTGAGCCCGTCACCCCGCCCTCTGCACCCACTGCTTCCCCGCCAATATTACCTCCTCCTCCGACCCGCCATCACAATATGACAAATCGGGCCTAGCATGGAATTTTTCGGCCCAAGAAGCTTTTTCAAGCTACTGCTGGCTGCTCTGCCTCTTCTTCATCACCGCCCCTCGAGCCTTTCTCCATAAAGGAAGCTCTTATGTATCCTGAATGGTCAGATGCCCTCGCGGCTGAAAATCGAGCTTTACACGCCAATGATACTTGGGATCTTGTCCCTCGGCTTCCCCATTATAATGTCATGGGCAATCGCTGGATTTATCGTGTCAAGCGCAATCCCGCCGGCTATATTGAGCGTTTTAAAACACGTCTGGTTGCTAAGGGCTATCATCAGCGCCCCGGGGTTGATTTCGGTGATACCTTCAGTCTGGTGATCAAGCTAGTCACCGCCCGTACAGTTTTTACCATTGCTCTCTCTCACAATTGGCGCATTGCTCACTTCGATGTCAACAATGCCTTTCTTCAAGGCCCTTTGGTTGATGAGGTTTATATGGCTCAGCCCCCAGGCTTCGTTGACCCCGCTCGCCCGCATCATGTTTGCCGTCTCAAAAGAGCAATATATGGTCTTCGACAAGATCCCCGTGCCTGGTATACCGCCCTAAGCACCTTCCTTCTTGAGTTCGACTTCACTAAAACTCTCTCGGATTCCTCACTATTTGTCTATAATCGTGATGGCATCCTTCTGAGCCCGACCTGTTGCTCACAGGAAATAATGACCGCCTGCTTGCTATCTTCCAGGAAGCTCTCTCTCGGCGATTCTCGTTAAAATCGTTGGGCGACGTTAGCTTCTTCCTTGGCATTGAGGTTGTGCCTACTTCCTCTGGCTATTTACTATCCCAGCATAAATATATGAAAGAGGTTCTTCAAAGATTTCATATGTTGGATGCTGCTCCCACGCCTACTCCTCTTGCCTCGACGTCCAAGCTTTCCCTCTTTGATGGCAGCGGCTCCACTGACTCCACCAGGTTTCGCCAGGTTCTTGGGGCCCTACAGTACTTGGTCTATACCCGGCCGGATATCGCCTTCACCGTCAACAAGCTATCACAGTTCATGCATTCTCCTACACTCTATCATTGGAATTGTGTCAAACGCCTGCTCCGTTACATTGTCAGTACTCTTGATCATGGCCTCGTCATCCATCGCTCTCCGCAACCTCTCATGGTCTCCGCCTTTGCTGATTCAGATTGGGCCGGTAACTTGGACGACAGGTCCTCCACTTCAGCCTACCTCATCTACCTCGGCTCCACTCTAGTCTCATGGCGCACTCAGAAACAGCGACATATCGCTAGGTCTAGTACTGAAGCTGAATATCGAGCGATTGCTAATGCCAGTGCCGAGCTTGAATGGCTACAAAATCTCCTCCGCGAACTGCATCATCCGCTCGCCCAACCTCCTACTCTCTATTCCGACAACCTGGGTGCCACATATTTTTGCTCCAATCCTATTTTCCACTCACGTATGAAGCATCTTGCTTTGGACTATCACTTTGTCCGTGGTCTGGTACAGTCTGGGCGCCTCATCGTTCGTTATATTCCCACTGCTCACCAACTTGCTGATGTCCTCACCAAACCACTGCCTGCTGCACGCTTTCTCCTTCGTTCCAAGATTGGAGTTGTTGATACAACGTCCGTCTTGCGGGGGCGTATTAGAGAAAAATAATGTTTTGATTTTATTTATTCTTTTATCACTTTCTCCACTATTGTTACGGTTCCTAATCTTGTGGGAAGTGCACATCATTCTGTTACTACGTGCCTATTTTGTCTCCCCAAGATCTGTATATTAACACTCAGAATCATCAATAACAAATCATCTTGGATTCTCCTCATTATCTAGTTCTGTTAATCTATTCATGTTACACAGTTTTGTTTCCCTCCTTTCCGCAGCTAGGCCTTCTCCCACAAACGAAAAGGAAAATCACTCAGCCGCTTCTGGCATCTGTTGTCAAACCTTTCTACCATTGAAATAAAATTCAATTCTTCCGCCAATGCTAGCTCACGACCACACAAGGAAATCGGAACACCTCGTGATGAACGTACAGAGGATCGAGAGAGTGGATCTATGGAAGACCAAGGCCCGGATACTTCAGCTCTGGCTCAGGGACTGTTTCAGATTAGCGGTTGATCGCCACTTCCATCGCTGCCGCGAGGCGTTCCCCGATGGCTACTGAGAAGAAAGTAAATCTAGCAGCTGTTAGGGTTTAGAATTGTAGAGAAAACAAATAGAATGTAGGAATTTGGCAGAATGCCTTCTCATTCCCTTTTGCGCAGCTTATATACAGAGTTAGGTAATTACAAGTTCCTAATCTACTGTAGCAACGACTAATTCCAACTAACTAAGTTAAACTAACCAATTACAAGAAGACAGCTGGCTAATCGTGTATCTATCTCTAAGTCACGTTGGAGAAGAGTGAAACGACGTCGCCTTGGTTTATTTATGTACTGCCTCTATTTGGTTGGACCGGGTTAAAGGAAGCCTGATACATCTTGAGACCCGGTCTGCTGCACTTCATTTTCTTCCTTTAGCAGAGTGTTGCTCTGTCACTTTACTCTGTTCCACCATCAGAGCACTCTGCTTGATACGCCCCCTCAAGCTGGCGAGTACATGTCATGTACACCCAGCTTGGAGAGCAAAAACTTCAATCGATCACCAGATAGCCCCTTAGTAAATAAGTCTGCTAAGTGGTTCTCAGTATTCAAATGAAACAAATCGAGAGTCATGATTTCAATCTTTCCCTGACTGGTTGTCACAATACACCTTTGCTGCGTTTGAATGCTCAATTCCAAAGAAACCCAGAAAAGCCTTTAACCAACTGTGCCATTGCTCTGTATTCTGCCTCGGAGGATGAACGTGAAACTGTACTATGCTTCTTGCTTTTCCAAGTAATCAAAGAACTGCCCAGAAAAGTCCATAGACCCTGTCCTGGACAACCCTTTAAGTGCCTCAAAATTCTGTGTAGGGCCTTAAGATGGACAGTGGTTGGTTTGTCTTGAAACTGACTGAGTTGCTGAACTGGGAAGCAAATGTCAGGTCTGGTAGAGGTCAAGTATTGCAATTGACCCAAAAGATGTCTGTAAGCTGTTCCATCATCAAGCAATGTTCCATCTTCAGCAGACAATGTAGTCTTCATGCTAATTGGTGTCTTTGCTGGTTTACATTCCAAGAAATCTGCATTTTCAAGCATCTCCAAACAGAACTTGCGTTGACATAAGGAAATTCCAGTATGAGTTCTAGTAATCTCTAACCTAGGAAATACTTCAAATTTCCTAAGTCCTTAACCTTGAAACCTGGATGCAACTGTTTCTTAACATGCTGAATGTCCTCCAAGTTTGGTCCTGCCACAATAATGTCATCAACATAGATGACTAACACAACTGTGGAAGTTTTGAAGACTGAATAATCCTCATAGGATTGCTGGAAACCAAGCTTATCTAAGAACTCAGTGAGTTTAAGATACCACTGATGACTAGCTTGTTTAAGCCCATAAAGGAACTTTTTAAGCATGCAGACCTTTCCTTGAAGGTGACTTAGCTCTCTCAAACCAGGTGGAAGTTCCATATAGATCTCCTCCTCTAAGTCACCATCAAGGAAAGCATTGTTCACATCCATCTGATGGAGATGCCAGTGTTTGATGGCTGCAATGGCTAAGAGGAGTTTAACAGAGTTGATCTTAGCAATAGGAGAGAAAGTATCAACAAAATCAACCCCATAAGTCTGTGTGTAACCCTTAGCAACAACCCTGGCCTTAAACTGTTCAATAGCACCATCCGGGAGAAACTTAGTTTTATAAACCCATTTGCAGCCTATGGGAACAACATTAACTGGCTTGTCAACAATCTCCCATGTATGATTAGCCTCTAAGGCATTAACCTCCTCCTTCATAGCTTGATTCATAGCTTGAGGGTCTGAAGGATTAGAAATAGAAAATGAGAAATGCTTGTGAGAGGGAGACAAGTGTGAGTAAGAAAGACAGTGAGAAAGGGGGTAAAGAAGCTTGTCATCAAAGGAAGAAGAACAAG